GACACGCCCCGACTGACTTCATTGATAACGAGTGTACCTGTCAAAATTAAAAGGTGGCGCCCGAGCCGTTTATCCCACACAAGCTCTTTTGAGTTTTCTGTGAAAACAAGTGTGGACTTTTCATGCATGGATATGATGTTGAGAGGGGTGGCCTAAGAGGGAATCGGTGGACGCACCTTCACTGGAAGTGGTCAAGTAGGCAACGTGTACTCGAGGATCTCGTCTAGTAGCGTTCTTCACTGGCATATAGCCGTAGTCATGCCGAATCACCTGACCATTCTGGAAGTACGTGTGCCTAAAGCATTGAAATGAAGCCTAGAGAGAGAGGCACGTTGAACAATTGAATAAATACATAAATAAACAAATAAATCATCTACGCAATCCTTGGAAATGGAAGAAACACCTCTGCGGAAGGAGTTAACAGAATCAACAATGGGCTTTTATTCAGTCCCAAGGCCAGCTTGCTAACAAGGCAAGAATTTTTCACATGTAGAACTACCCTGCAGTATAACCCAAGTGTTGATCTCTCACAAATTGAAGCATATCTCTTGGTGGCGACAACATCTTCGGCTTTTAAATTAGTTCGGTTCTGGCTGAGTTGCTGCTATTCACAGCTATGTGATAAGCAACAGTGCTTTACTACCACCTACACCATAATTCATCAGGAACTTTACGGAACATGAAGAGGCCCCTGGAAGAAAGAGGCCAAACTTCTTGCAAGAAAGTGCAAGAACTTTTGGCTTCTTTTTTGGAACCTTTAGAGTTTTTTGATAAAACCCACCCAGCCTCTTATGCTTCACAACACTTAGTTTCTGATGAAGCTCCAAGACGACAAACTACTAAAATGGTCTCTCATTTGAAGTATCTTGCAGCGGCCTACGGAAGCAGTAGGACGCTTCAACGGCGTGAAACCATACAGCAACGGCGGGTGCTTCAGGTGTCCTATGAATTAGAACAGCTGAAGCGTCCGCCAGTGTCAGCGCGAGTTTGAAGGGTTTGCTTGGGCTTGCCTGCCAAGAGGTATTTTTCCTTTGAAAAACGAAAGCTTTTGGCCGTCATTTGGAGCAATCGCTATAACATATTTTCGAAGTCATCAATCGTATATCCCATGTTCATGTCTCATGATCCATTTCAATCCACCGACGGCTGCCGTATAGCGCGAAGTACGTCAGCCAAACTGTCAGGAAGATAGCGACTGTATAGTGTGATTATGGGCGAGGGCGCGTGAACTGGTAAGTGGCGCTGCTTGTCACGAGCGCGGTTCGAGCCTGCATCATTGTGTACATGACAATGAAAGTTTTTATGCTTCGATTTTTCAGTGTCCACTGGTTTTTGCTAACAAAACCCGCTCGAGCATGATGAACAACACCAAATTGCTATATAGGTTTTCTGCAGGCCCAAACCAAACACACTAAAATCACTACTCAGCTTTTGGAAAGTAAGTACATTGCGCAACATGAAATGCGCTGGTCAATTCCGAAAGGATTATCGAGAGGCTTTATCCTTTTCATGAAGCACGCTCTCATGTTATCAAACCACACATGTAAGTCGTTTAGCCGTTTGCTTACTACAATTTTTTTCAGAAACTCTCTCTCTTTCAGGTTTTCTTTCGGAATCGGAGATTCTTCTTGTAAATGCGTACAGGGTACAGGGTACAGCATCGCTGTGCGAAACCGATCGGGAGAGGGTCGTATATGGCCGCTGGGGAGGGGGGGGTCGTAAACGCAGGGTCGGTGAGCACCAAACAGCACAAAAGTGTCATCGCTAAGTTTGATGGAGCGGACGGAAAGCTGCAGAGGATGTGGATGTAAGGAAGACTGCAAAATATCAACAATTGATTAGCACGAGCCCGTAAGTATGTAGATGACTGAAATAATACATCTCAAACAGATTCGTGCGTATCGACCTTTCCAAACCCTAAAACATCTGCTTGCATGGACAAAAATCACCTAAAATCAGAAGTTACACCTTTCCACCACCTCTGCGTAGAAGCGTAATGCACGGCGCACACTCGGACCAAATCGATCGATGATAACCAAATTATGCTTTGACTCAGTTCAACGGGAATATGTGTTTTGAAGGCATATTGAAGTTCGCGAATGAGTATCCTACAATGGCACAGAAGAATCGAGCTTTTGAGTAAATCAGAATGTCGACCAGGGGGAAGTGGGTTGCTTCAACATGCCGTCTTCCTTTGCTTAAAAGCCCCGCACCTAAAAAAGCTATCATCCCCAGAACATCAATCCTTAAAAGCCCCGCGATTTTACCTGGCCATCAGATCGCTCCACCGCTAATTTGCCATGGAATCGTAACGCGGCTGACTGGCTGGGCGTGGCTGCTTACTCCTTTGGAAGATGGCGTAGGATACGCTTCTCGTGGGATGTGCAAATTTCGAACGACAGTCATGGTATCTTGTGTGAACAGAGACATATACTCCTTATCCCTGGGACAAGATAGGCGTGGCATTCGAGCATGGCATTAAAGGGTTACTCTTGGGATGTTTCAATTTGAGACAACTGTCATCTTGTTCAGTGTTGGACAAAGACATGACCACAATTTCTCGAAATGGAATTGTCTCACCAGAAGCACAGTTAGCGCCAAGTTCAGTTGAAGTGTGCAGCCAA